TATTTTATTATTTCTCGTAAGATTTGTAGTATTTATGTGTTAATTAAGGTTTGGGGTTAACTCTTTTAAGGGTTTGTAAGATTTCTTTTTAACTTAGGATTTTCATTTCTTAATAGATTTTGAAAGTACGTGTTGAAACTCCTTAAATTAATTATGTTCTTTATGTGTTAGGGTTTATTGTTAAGTGTTTTAGACTACTTTAAGTTTATTTCCAAATTACGACTTTTATTTGATCTTGCTAAATCTGACAATTATGTGGTAATTAATACATATATTATTAGTTGTTTATTGTGTTGTGTTGCTATTTTTTATGTTTGAATATATGGATGATTTTTCTAGGTTTTTGAGTCCCAATAAATTTATAATTTAGGATTTAAGGGTGGAATTTTATATATGTAATTTAGAATTTTGGGATGAACTGATTGATGATATTAATTTTTTTTTTCATTTATTGTGTTTCATTGCTTGATTCCTTATTCGAAAATTAATGTAATTATGAATTACACGACAATCCCAAGAAAAAAATCTAACAGTCTAGTCATGAATCACTCTCAAATAATTTTATTTTTAGTATCCTAAATTTGATTATGAAGAAGCCGTACTCTTAAGGTCAGAGGTAAGTCAGAGTTGAATATCAAATTTCAACATAAAACAACTCTTACTAGATGGAATAAGAAAAATAAACTTTTTTGATGGTGCTAGAGATTAAAGTAAATCAACAAGTGATTTGAACGTGTCGAATTTATTTTTTGTGAAAGGAACAATCTTTTATAACTGAAAGATAATTGGATATACTAAAAATGGGACAAACTTAAGACGAGTCCGGAGCCTAAAGGGCACAAAAAATTGACAAAAATTCTAAAAGGGCACATCAATTTTTTTTTTAACCAAATGAGCAAATCGCTAGTGGAGTAGCGATTTTGATTGTTTAACGGAGTAACGGCATTAAAACAAAATCGCTACTCCACCAACGATTTTGCCCCTTTGGTTAAAACAAAATTTGATATGCCTTTTTGAAATTTTTGTTAATTTTTTTTGCCCTTTAGGCTGCGGACTCAAGTTAAGACAATAAGAATAATGGTGAGGCACAACAGTGAGGGGGTGATGTTCAATGTCAATAATAAATTATGTATTTTGTAAAATTTGATTGATGTAACAAATGAAGGTGACATTAAACTAGGAAAATCTTATGTTATTAGTAGTTGATGATGCTAAAAAATATATCATTTTATCACTTTTTTTTTTTTGTATTTATAATATAAATATTGATAAGTTGGTATATGTTTTTAATCTTAGATTTAGCTCCCCTTTATGCATGTGTGTCTTTTCCATCAATTCCATGATTTTCTTGTCTTTAATATACTTCACTTAGTTTAGATCTCGGATCCCCCTCTCTTTTACTTGACGAGCCTATACACTTTCATATCTCTTCCTCTATCTAAACCCTAAATCTTAAATCCTAAACACGCGTCTTCCAATTCAATATAGATAACTTACAATCCAACTCACCGGTTGGAAAACAAATTTTCTTAACGTGCGGGAAGAATCATCCTAGCTAAGTTGTCCCTTAATAACATTCCGATTTACATGATGCAACTAGCTAAGCTACCTACCAACATAACCAAAAGGGTAGATTGAATTCAACGAAATTTTATCTGGGGCTCCACAAATGTTAAAAAGAAGTTGCACTTCATCAACTGGGATATAGTTACTAAGAGCAAACAAGAAGGTGGTCTAGGTGTTCAGAGGTGCAACATCAAGAATAAAAGCTATGCTAGGACGACTAACGTGGAGACTCTTTAAGAACCCCAGGACTCTATGGGCAAATGCTATTCTTGTTGTTTACACCGAATCCAAGGGACTTAGAGATGATTCTATACATAGAAAATGAATAAGCCCAATATGAAAAAACATAATAAAAGGCTGGGAGGAGTGCAAAGAATGCCTCCACTGGATATTAGGGGACAAAAATCAAATCAACTTCTGGACAAATCCATGGGTTCCAAATTCTCCAACTCTAAGGAACCTTCTTAGTGGCCCCCTTCCTCCTTAAGGAATCGGAGAGGACAGTCAATAGCATCATCGTAGATGGGTTGTCGAACTTGGAAAATATACATTACCTCTTCCTCTAAGTGTCCGTCAAAAAATCAAACAAATAATTATTCCTAACATCTCGAACCCAGTAGACAAACTTACTTGGGCTATAACAACGAATGGAATATTCAGTACCTCATCAGTGTACCATAATATAAAGGGTAAAAATAACATTAATCATCCACCCCTTAAAGATCTTAACTAGATCTAAAAACTCCAGTGCCCTAATAAAATCAAGTTCTTCCTCTAGATAAGTTATTATAGGAGACTACCGACTTGCCACCATCTACACTCGATTGGGATCAACATTAGCCCAACCTGTACTATTTGCGGGGAAATGGATACTAATACACAAATCTTCATTAAATGCACTAAAGCTATCCAGTTGTGAGATAAGTTAGGTATGCTACAATTTCTACAACCTATTCTCAATGGTAGAGAAATAGATTGGCTTACTATCATTAAAAATATCAAGAACTTCAACATTCACAACAACATCGAATGGAAATATTCCTTTCCTTTTTATATATGGTGCATATGGTTGAATAGAAACTCACAACTACCATAACAGAAAAAAAGAGGACATCCTAACAGCTACACCTTTAGATAAAGTTGTAGAATTCTACTATCTAGGCAAAAAAGAAAAAAATAACAGCAATTTAAAGCCTAAATAGAAGTGGCTACCCCCAGAATTTGGCTTGAGCTAAAAACTGACGGCTCTTACAATTACTCTTCAAAAGGGGGGGGGGGGGGAGGCAGGAGGAGTAATACGAGATTGTAGGGGCTCTTGGATAGAAAGATTCTCAGCAAAAGTTAATGTTATTACTACACTTAGAGCAACTAGCCTTATTACTAGGGCTTAGAATGGCAGCTAGAATATGTATCTCACCTATCCAAATTGATACAGACTCATCAGTTATCATAAACATTATCTATAAAGGTTGTGACTAAATCACTAACACAATTTTTAGATGCAGGGAGTTACTCCAAAAGTTGGGGAACCCACAGATCATCAGCAATAGCTACATAGAGCAGAATCAGTTGGCTGATATGATAGTTAAAGAAGCAGTAAAACTAACAGAGGACATATATTTTATGAAATGGACAGCGCCACCATCGTTTGTCTCGAAGACCATCGATGCTGATAATGAGGGAGCCACTTTTGATAGGAAGAACTTGTCCCTATTAATATCGGATGATTTTAATTATTTTGTTGGTAACTTAGCAAGTATTCCGTTTGATTGTAATGCTTCAGGCCACCGACCTTGTATGAATTCATATTATATATATATATATATATATATAATTAAATAAACACCCTTTTCAAGCAAAAAAAAAGAAGAAGTTCTCCATACAAGTGTTTAAAAGTTACATTTTAGCGCCAATATATATAACTGCTAACTTCACTTTCTTCCGCGCCACCTTATATATTTTTTTTATTTGACCTTTTTTTCGCTTCTTCACTGCTCACCAACAACTTTATATAAGGATCCTTCTTGGCTTCCACTAATTCCATTAATCTTTTGATACGTTAGATACGTTCCTCTTCTTCCTCCGCCTCTTAATCTCTAAATCAAATAAAAAGAATTTAAGTTGGATTTAACTACGTAACTTGAAAATTTAAGTAAGAATATTTTAAATTATTTAATCCTAAATCCTAAAATATAAATAAAATAACTTTTAACACATTATTTTTCAAGTTTAGCAAGCAATCCTAATTCAGAAACCCTTAAACTCATTAACTCCAACACCATTAACACAAAATCATTGTGGCCAATTTATGAGAATTTGTTAAACAAGATATATATTATTTTCTCTAATCTTTATTAAGTGAATTGTTGAGAATTTTTTTTATAATTTAAAATAAGTGAATTGTTCGAAGTTTAAGAGAATTGTTGGGACATTTTTCATAGTTATCCTTCATTTAATGAGGCTCTTAACTAATACATTTTATAGGAGAATAGTTCAAAAATAGTCTAAATAATAATAGTGGAAAGTAGCATTTTAATTAGTTATGTACTAAACTATTTTTCTTAAAAATGTGTCGTATGCCAACAATTCACTTAACTAGACTAGAGGGATCGTATTAAGTTGAAAAAAGACATAATTGCACAAACATTCATACCTTATTAACTAATTATTCTCCTTATAGTTTGAAATAAGTACACAGTACTATCTCACTAATTAATAATTTAATATCAGATTCAAATTAGATACACCTAGATACATATATTTTTGCTCTCAGATACATTGTGTAGTACAGATAGGGAAAGAGGCAGACGAGAGAGTCAGAGCCTTGCGAATACACTTGAATATAATATATCTAGAATAAATTACAACTAATTGTGAATCCCATTTATCCGAAATACATGTATATTGGGACCAAAATTTTGCACGAAATATACTTTCAAAAAAACTCACGAAAAAGCACATAATTAAATTCTTAACTAGTGAGATTTACGTTGTTTACCTTATTTAGATTAGTAATGCCGAAAGTAAAAATAATTAGCTAATATAACATTTAATAAATTTATCCAATAAAATAAAGTAGAAAAATACATTTAATTAACCTTTTCCTCTTTTTAAAGTGGTAATTTTTTTTTTATAAATAAATGAATTCACAAATAACATGTGTCACTTTTGATCAGGTACTTTTTGGGAGCAATTTCCAAAGTCATTTCTAAATCACGTTGGTCATGGTATTTTCTCATTTCACTTAACCCACAGAAATGGAATACCCCTTCACATTTTTTCTACCTTCACACCTTGGAATTTTCTTCTTTATAATCTCCCAAATGGCCTAATAGTTTCTCCACCCTGAAACTTTTATGGAGTTTCTCTATGTCTATTTTATAATTTTTTAGTTTGAAATTCAATAACTCTCTCATTTTTTAGATTTTGCTAACATGGAGAAAACTGAAGAAAATAGAGAAAACTTGAGGAATGTGGAGCTGAATTTAGGGTTGATCGGTAATTTGAAAGTTCAACTCTAAAAAATTGAAGATATTGAACCGTTCATCATCAATAACTAATGAAAATTCTTCTTTGTTGTTTTCAGGTGAATCAAGTGGATCACAAAGAAGTGTTGCTTCAAATTTAACCGAGCTTGAATCCCAACAACCACCTAATGGATGTATAAAAAATTTCATCCTTTTTATTCTTTCATTGAAGCACTTTTTATTTACTTAATTAAAAAATAAGTGTAAGTTCACGAAAAATGGTAACAATTAGCTTTTTCAAGTTTCTCAAAATTACTAATGAGAAATCACGGGTGTTGTCAGGGGAAAGTGCTAAAGAAGTTGGAGAGAAGCTGAGGAACTTCTTGCACTCCATGCCTTGTGTTTTTTATGATGGACCAAATGGAAAGAAGACTAAAGGATACTTATTATACTCGTCTGTGAGGAGAGAAGATCTAAAGATAGTTTGTAGTTGTCATGCTAGTTTTCTGACCCCCGCTGAATTTGTCAAACATGGTGGTGGAGGTGACGTTGAAAACCCTTTAAAGCATATAGATATAGTTCTTGCCTGAAAAATGGACTAGCTGCTTTAATATGGTTGTTATTTGATCTTTTCCTTTGTTGTTGTACTAAATAAGGTCAATGGCTATTGCCCAAAAAGGCCTTAGCTTTGATATCGTTGTTATTTGATCTTTTATTTTGTTGTAGAAGACTAAGTCTCTTCCATCAAAGCTATATTATGGTTATTTTCCGGTTATTCTACTTGTTTTTTTCTATGCAATGTTTATTTGAGCTTTAATTAGAAGCAACTAATAGGTTTGAAGGGTTTCTAAGTTATTTTTCAACTTGGGATTTTCATTTTTTGCTACATTTTGAAAATAGGTATTGAAACACTTGATATTAGTTGTTCTCTTTATATGTTAGGATTTGGTATTTACTACTTAAAGTTTTTCTACGTTTATTTTTTGAGTTAGAATTTCTATTTCTTGTTAAATCTGACAATTATGTGTTAACGAGATCAGAGGATGGCAAGCCTGTGCAAGTACGAACCTTATGGAAAATGAGTTAGAAAAAAATAATAATTATAATTTAATTGATTTAAATAATTGATCTGAATAGAATTTGTTATAATTCTATAATTTCGAATCCAGACAAATGGATTGATGAGTGCTCTGATTTATCTTTCATAGATAATATGAAGGATTAAAATTTCATTTCTAGCATTTTCTCTTATTTTCTACGTGTTTTTGAATGTCGTAAAAGATTTTTTGAAAAAAATATGAACTTATTATCGTAATTTAATGGCCTAAACTATTTTTTAGATATCCCTTATATTTTCTGTATATATTGATTGTTAGGAAATTCTTCTATCACAAATTCAAAGCAAGTATTTCACTATGTAACTAATATGGTTATGTATAATAAGTTTGTTTAAAATTAATTTGCACAATTTCGGGGCAGTAAACTAAGCAATTCATTAAATTCCAACTCATTTTTTCAAAATATTTTACTTGTTCATCGACGTGTGAGAGAGGAAATGAGTAACGTGCGAGTGAATATCACCAACCTATATCATTTATCTCGCCTAGCTTGTCTAAATATTATAAAAATGTCAATTCTAATTATCCCTTTATAACTATGTCTGTTTTTGTTCCTCTTGTAAGATTTTCAATATTTATGTGTTAATTAGGGTTTGGAGTTTTAACTTTTTTAAGGGGTTTGAAGTTATTTTTGAGTTTTTATTTATTGCTTAATGTTGAAATGGATTCCAAGATTAAAAAAATTATACAATTTTAAATTTTTTGGATATTTTAAGGGAAAAAATTAAAGGAAATTTTCTATATTGGAAAAGAATAACTAGCTTTGTATATTAGTAGTACCTTGTTTGGTATATTTTTTTATGCTATGTATAACTAATGTAAAATAATATTCCATCTTTTTTCGAAGGGAAAAAATCACACAACTGAAAATAGTCCATTATCATTACTAATAAAAGAAAAGAAATAAAATAAATTATTTTAACGACAATAACAATAATAAACAATCTCACAAAAATAATATGTATAATTTACACTGTTTTTTTTAATATTTTTTTGTATCCTCATTCATCTATTCCAGCACCCTATCATGCTCACTTACCTTGTTGAAAATGATTGAGAGCATTCCTTCTACACGTTTACCCGCATTGTTCTTGGGCTTTCCTCACTCATGAGGGGGGACATATCGGTCCTTCCTTTTGCATTGGACTTCAATTCCCACTATCTTTTTGGACAACTCATCCATTTGAGTCATCTGCGTGGCCAACATAAAGTCCTTCTATACTTCTTACTTTGATTCAGCCATGAGATCAAGAAGGTGGGCTACTATCGCATAAGGCTATTGTGTAATACCACCCGGAATGAGTTGGTCAGCCAATGCTTTGTTTCCGGTATTGAAATGGATTCCAAGATTATAGTTGACATTGATGCAAAGCAGGACTTCTCAGAACCTTAACTTGAGGACTATTATTGAAGAAACTATTTTTTTAATTATTATTATTATAATATTATTATTATCATTATTATTTCTTAAAGAAACTATCGTTCGCATTAATAAGAATGATGTTAGTGTCACTCACCATTTTAGAGAAGTCAACAAAGTAGCTGACTATTTTTCAAAATGGGCAACAATGATTAACATATTAACCATCTACAATAATTTTAATGAAGTGCTATATGGTATATTATAAAATTACATAAATATCATAGTGTTAAGAGCTAATTACATTAAACACTAAAAAAAAAAAAAAAACTTGTAATTACGGCAGTTTTTGGACGGCGTTTCCTAAAGGCGCCGTAATATCCTTAATATTACGGCAGTTTATCAAAACGTCACATTTGTCATTTATTTACGGACAGTTTTAGTTCTATTATGGCGGTTTGAAGCACTAACTTATCCTAAAATTAAGCAGATATTTTTTATTTATTTTTTAAAAAGCCAACTTAGAAATTAGATTAGAATACCCATTTTACATTCCCTCCCCCTCATTGATCGAGTTTCTCTCGATAATTATCGACGGCGATTTGGTCTCCGGTGAAGTTCGCTGGATCAGAGTTGATGTTAGAGGTTAGTCGGGTTGGATTTGAGGGTTGATAGAGCGTTTCTGGTTTAAAATCACTATTTCTTCAACTGTTTCTATTTCATGATTTCTATTCTCTCAATTTGGTTTGTTATTGCTTTGCTTCTCAGGTTTCTGCTGTTCTTCCATCGAATTTCTGATTTCGACAGTTTCATTTTCTGTAATATAGTGTAAAATTGCTCAAGATTGAATCTGAAACAACAATATCAAGTTTACTTTCCATCATGAAGTGTATTTCTCTTATTAATGAGATTATCGGTAAGTTTTCTGCATTTTAATGTGAAAGCTATGTACTGAAGATTGATAATAGGCGTTTTAGTTAAATATCAGGGATTGTTTTAGTGAAAATTAGGTGCTTTACTTTGATTTTTTGAATTTATTGGGCTTGTACCACTATTCCATTCCAGTGAGGTGCTATTTGTTTTAGTTGCATGTTTGTGGCTAGTGACTTGCGAGTCTCATCTCACAGGGGATTGGATCTTTATCTAATTATGTTGTTTGAAAATAGAACTAATTTAAGAACAGTAAATGCTATTGTAGTCTTTTTTTGCTTTTAATTTGGTATTACAAACTTGGCATCATAAATTGACTTGAATTCATCAGCGATCAAGTAAGTAATTCAACTTGACCGGATTTGCAGATAATGAGATGAATTCAGCTCAGGTACTACAAAATACAACAAGGTTGCCAGCCTCTTATGGAGGTTTTGCGAGTCTCGCGCTTCAAGGGTAAATATGTGTTCCTTCGTATTTTCTATTTTCTATTTTTGTTTTCTGTTTCTTGTGTACACTTCATAAATATTTAGTTTGTTTGGTTTCGATTGGATTGGATTATTTTTTTCATTAATAAGATAAAGGTATTATAAGTTCAGATGACAATCACATGATCAGTAGGCAATTGAGATCTTTTCTTAGGGCTTTCTGATGGACTATCTTGTGAAGATTGCTCTAGAACTCGCATCTGATCATATTCTCTTAATATCTTACTTTTCAATGAATGTTGAAAATAATAAAGATTACTACTACTGGAACTTTCACCTTGTTGGAACTTGTAGTCTCTTAGCCTAATAAACTTACTAGTTTAGGTGCTCATCATGCAAGAGAGAGATTCTGTTCCGTCTCTTTCAGGAAAAATATTAACTGATTTCATTTTTGAGGTATGTTACCCTATTGCAAAGTCACTTTTGACTTAAGTATTGAAACATGATATCCATACTCTTACTCCTTTAAACAGTGTGTCAAAATCAGTCCGAGGAGATCCTAAAAGGAGTTGTGAGAGAAGTGAAGGAAGAAACTGGGGTAAGAAATTCACAAGCAACATTTTTCTACCTAAATGGGCAAATATGTCGCTAATTATCTTAATGATGGTTTTTTCTTTTCTCATTGTTTTGTCCAGATTCATACCGAATTTGAGGAGGTTAGGACTTTCAGGTAACAAATTTTTTCCTCTTCAAAGGACCATAAGCTTACGATGATGGACAATGAATTTCTATGCCTTCTTATCGATTCAAAGAGCTATATTAGAAATTAACTCCTTAAGATACAACATTTAAATTTCAGTTAGCACTTCTAAGGTTAAATGTTTCTTCTCATGCGTAAGAAATTGTTTAGCAAACAGTCTATGCTATCAATGTATTTATGTTTATGGCACATAAATTTTCTCCTAACTGGTTTATTGTTTAAGGTTGGTTAAGAATTGTTTAGGAAACACTCCGCAAAATGGATGTGTGAAGGATATCAACCATTTTCCTGCTCAAACTAAATACTATTTAAATAGTTGATTGAATATCTGCATTCTGAAATCACCGATTAAAGAAAATGCTTACAACATGTCAGTGCCTCTTCTCTCTTTCTCTACATACGTCTCTTCTATCAATTTTCTATATGCTTACTGTAAAAGAGGAGGCTATTCAAAGTAATTCTCAATATGAAAATGCTATTGAATGTTTTCTTAGATCTAAAGTGTAACTTCAGAATTCACTTTAAAAGATTCAATCTTTTAAAATCCCAACTTCCGTTGATGTTAACTGATCCTGAGAGTTACTGGTGGCATTTGCAGCCACTTGCAATGGTCCAATTCTTGCTTCTGTCTTCAATATGAGTGGCCATGCGGCATATTTCTTCCAGGCAAGTTTATTGCCCTTGTTTACTTTACTATAGTGTTATGTGAATATTACAGACAAATCTCCAAGACAGTTTCTCACTGAAAATGGGTGATTTGGGCTTTGTTAGTTTTCCATTATATTTTGTTTGTCTTGTTTTGACTTTACACGGAGTTTATGTAATTAGACAATACCTTTTGAATTTTGTGGATTTGAAATAAATTTAAAAATTGTCAAAAATATTAAAGACACATTCTTTTTTGAACGGGCTAAAAAAAATATAAGATAACAAATTGAACGGAAGAGTAGGAAAGAACGGATTTTTCCATTAGTATTAATGCATAGAGAAGGCGTATCTTGTAGTTTTCATTTGAAAGATATATGTAATGCATCATGCAGACATC